GGCTGTCCCGCTGCCAGCGTCCTCAGAGGCTTTGCTCCCTGTCTCCCTGGTCTGCTGGTCTCCAGCAGACCAGGGAGACGCGGAGCAAACCCCGTTCGTAACTGCGGATCCGACATAAGTCGGATCCGTGTAACTCGGGGACTGCCTGTATTTAGGCAATAGAAAGCACAGTTGGGAGGGAAGATAGGCCACTAAACCACCTCACTAATCTCATAACCATCCAGGTATATTTGACATAAGACACACTGAGCTGTCCATAATACATACTTCCATTTTAAGACTATTAGTGCATATTTTGGTTTTGTCAGACTGATCATATTCATAATAAGTATGAGAAAAGGTGCATAGGATGAAAATTTCAAAATGCACTCACTTAGGAGCCTACAGCCCCCAGTGAAATTTCATTTCTATTCCTTGCACAAAGCCTTAATCAGTCATTCTGGAACTGAACTGTTTTGGTTGCCTGGTTTCAACTTCACATACGTTTTGAGAACAGAGACCAAATCTGTATGCTTCTTTTTACTCAAGGTATATTACACTCAAACTCAGCTGAGAAGGAGATGATCAAGGTTCTACTGATATTATCTTGGGAACAATTATATAACTGGACCCTCAACAGCATAACATTAGCAGGGTTTCAAACAGTTATATTTTTCACTTGTTTCCCATGCCTGCAGCAGACTGAGTTCCCACAAAGTTTGCATTAAAAAGTTTAAATCTATGATGCATGAATGGCCTCTTGTTATTTTTCAAAGACTCCATATCTTAAATCAACATTACAGATCCTGCACAAATCTGACAATGGAATTCACTACAGAAGCAGATCCTCGTAAAAGTATTAAGCAGCAGCTTTTTTTTTTTTTTATAAATAAAGGGGAAGAAGATTTAGATGTTACCTAAGGTAACACGTATTTGGTTACTGACCTCTTTCAAAGAAGCAAGAACAGCAGCTTTTATAGTTTCCTCTTGTTTAACCTGTGTCTCATCTAGCTTCTTTACATCATTGCTTAAATATGGTTTAAAGTTCATTTTCAGGTATTGCCTTCCTCTTATGTGGTGAAAGATCATATCAAGAGAACGAGGCAAAATTCCACAATCTTTAGGAGAACCTGTGAAGAAAAAAATTAGTGTATTATACTAATTAATCTCACAAAAAGTGTTCATTGGATTTTATGAAAGTTGCTTTGGGTACCTTGAATAGTGAATGTTTTGCCTGAATTAGTAACCCCATAGGTAAACACCAGTCCATTTGCTCCATCAATGTATGATTTTACTATATCTTTCATTGTGCCTTCAAAAAAGTCACTTTGCGTAGTTTCTGGACCAAAGACCTAAACAAAAAAAAGAATAATAGTTTTCCAATGTCTGGAGCTGCTGAAAAATGGATTACTACATGGTACAAAGAACTTGTATATACCGTTCACAGTTGGATAATAAGGTAAGTTAATTGTACAAAGAAAATTGAATAGCATCAGCTTCATTTTCTGTATCTCCTATAAACCGATCACAAGTTTCTGTTGTGGCTCCACAGTCAGAGATGTTTAATTCCATCTACTGAGATAAATGCAGACTTGCAACTGGCAAAAACCAAGAATTATCTGAGCTTGTATTGCAGAATAGGAGGGAACCATGCAGAAATGTGAATCTACAATTCAAAAACTACTCCATGAAAGATCAAGTCTTAAATATGAAGCTATTTAACATAAAGCCACTATCTCTTGACATTGAGAGAACAGAAGCTCCTATAGTCTTTACTAGATTTTGTATTCATGTCTCAAGAACAGAAAACATAGGCTTCAGATTCAAATGGGATAAGCTATAAGCTTCCATACTCTTGATTGAAAGATATATTTAAAACTGGCTTAAAGAAAAGTAACACGTTCCCACAATACCTGTATATCCATTTGTAATCTGGAGGGACAATAAAGCACAAAATTTTGTTTGGTCACACTACTTCCTTGTGCTATATTGTTCTTTAAAAAACTGCCTGCAAGAAGCTTTAGAAAATGTCATTAAATCAAAGAAAGCAACAGGATTACTGCATAAGTGTCCTTCTCTCAACTAACTGACACTTGCATCAATGTGTCTAAAGGGCTGTACTTTAACAGTGAACATGAGTCCTACACATTGTGTTTTATTTCAAATGAAGTTAAGACACCACAAGTAATTCACATCTGAAAAGTCATAGTCAACTAATTATGCAACAGAAATACTTTCACTGTCACTAAAAATGGAAGAGCAAGCTACAACTATGATTTCCTAAAAGGTACCATTGCTTTCCTTCTAAAGATAACTACATGAAGGTTAGCCTACCTTAGTGAAAGTAAATTGGTGTACAGACTGTCCAATCCCCTTTTCACTGTTTTTAACGGTAAAGGATTCTTTGGGTGCCTGTAGGGTTACTGTTTCTGAATTTTCAATAATTACACAGTCCTAAAGGAAAGAAACAAGTTCTTTCTTTTAAAATAGCTTTTCAAAACGTTTAACATATTTAATAGGTGCATTGTCAGATTTGGACCAAAATATGGGCTTTGTAAAAGGTAAGCTTTTACAACACCCAAGAGAATTAAAAATGTTGCCAGGATCCCTCCACCCACTCCTATTTGCAACACACATTCCAAACACCTGTAGAGTTTGCATCCCAAGCTTTGCAGTACCATATTCATGCAAGGAACCTGAAAACAAGGATTAGAAAACTGACTATTTTCCTCCATATTTTGTTTCTGGACCAACTGTAAACTGCATAAACCGTAGAATGTAAACTGCATTTGAAGAGTTTCAATGTGAATGCTTATGGTGTTATTTGTAACCTAGGAAAGGGAACTTGCCCTAGCTCTTATTTAAGAGGCAGAAGTTAAATCATTAGAACACTATAACAAAATCCATTTGATAACTGGTAGTTAGAGCTGGGCAAGTTACTTATTTTTCAATTCATTGGCAGATTAGGCTCAATCCTAATTGAATTTTTTTTTGCAAATTTAAAGTCAATAAACATTTTAATTCAGACTGAATTAGTGTTTTGTTCCTCCTAACCCAGTTTAAAGATTAAACAAAGGGCTGGATTCATAGGAGGGAAAGGTAGTGCCTAAATACTCAATAACCTACTCGTTGCATCACATAGCTAGTATGTGGGAATCCCAAATTTAAATCCCTAATCTGGACCAGGGATTTAAAGTCAATCTCTCCGTTGAGGGCCCTAAGCAGCAGACTACTGAATGTTCTAGTTTGTCTCTTAGTCTCTCCTGTTGAGGCAATTCCACTTTGTGTAAAATAATTCAGTATTCATTGGAGCAAGAACTTCAACACGGATATCCCACCCCACAGTTAAGTGTCCTAACTGGTACAAAAGGGGAAGAAGGCTTACATAGCCATATGAATTTAAAGCAAAACTCCTACTATGCTTTTTTGGGGTCTAAAACTATTCCAGTCAACCCCAAGCTGCAACTTGTCAAAAAAAAAAAAATGTACAGAGAATTTCACCCTGCTTAAGAGCACATGACCTTGCGAATGATGTGGCAGAAGCAATTACCTTCCACAACACATAAGCCATGCAATACTACCTTGTGCATGGTTTTCCTATAACCTAAGTAACTTACTGCTCCACTGCAAATATTTATTTTCTTTGTGTTTGGTCTTTAAATTACCTATCACATGTTACTTTAGCTGAAAAAAGAGCGCAAAATTTGATACGCTGTTCTGATCTTGTTCATTCACTCAAGGTGCACTGCAGAAATCAGTGAAAATAAAGACTGCTAAGTAGCACTTTTCTAGAAGACAGAATTGTTTTTGAAGCATTCTTAACTTTAATGGTGCAGTAAAGTACATCTACTGTTACAGACTTTAAACTCTAAAATTACAAAAGCTTTTTTATTGAGATGAAAGGCAAGTGTTTTCCATAGAGGGCAAAAATAAGTCATTTATGGACAACCACCAACCTGAGATTCTTTGCTTTCAAGCTCTGCCTTAGAGAAGGGTCTGACTCTCAAGTAGACTCTCAAAGGTTGATATATCTGCACATTTAAAAATATATACAGTTAAGTCAACTGGCCAAAAAGACTCAGGATTCCAGTTTGTTTCTCTCTGATGTTTTTCTCGCCCCTACCGCTATATCTCATGCCACCCACATTACTGTGACACTTTTACTACCCTTCCACTAATCTTCATGTCTTCTCCAAGTTGTCCCTTATGCCAAGAACTAAAACTCCTACTATGCTAAACACTCCACCACTTTTCATTCAAATTCTTTATTCCACACAGTCAGCCCAACATTAATCTATCAACATTATTATATATTTAATTTTTTTTAAACTGCACTGCTTCCACCTTCTGGTCGCTCTGTGCACTATATCTAGAGCTGTATTGTTTGCATGAACAGCAGATTTGTACTCTAGTTTAATATTGCAAGGCATGCTAGAGGGGCTCAGTAAACAAAAAACACCTTGACTATTACCAACTCACAAACTTTTGCCCAATCCTTCAGAAACAGTCATGGAGAAAGTCTACCTCCGTGCTGTTCTCTCCCATTCTAGCTACTAAGAAGAAAACAATCCAACTGGGTCTACCCACTGTTATCTATTAGACAGAGGGATCCTGCTTATCCTTCCCTTTCCACTCAGCTATTAAAGCAGAAGAGGTATTCTAGAGTCTCCAAACCACTGAGCTAGCTGTCCATTTAGCACCTTTCATTACCACTACTCTTCAGACCAGATAGTGTGCTGACCAAAGATACTGAAGCAGTAGAGGACAGCATGAACAGCAGAAACAACATGCCAGGCCAGAATTGCTATAGCTGTATTGCATAAAGTCAAAAAGCTTGCAGGCCAAGTGCAAGTTTACAACTCTTTGGTGCCCATGGTGAAAGTGAGATAATAAGAAAATTAGTTTGAACTGAGAATACACCTGATGGATGATATGCAAACTTCCACGTGTACTTCTGCACTACCCTGTAATCTTTTATTTCCTCCAATGCTTAAGACAGACATTATACCCACTAAAATGTTAATTCACTGAAGGACATGATCTGTTTCTAAATAAAAGGAAAAGAAACTTTCAGAAAAAGGGAGAGTGTTCACAATACAAAGACAAACTTGATATTTAGTTTTTGCTACTTAAATGCAAAGGCATCATTAGAAGAAACATTACAAATACATCCCACCTCCTGTTGCTGTTCATCAGCATTAGATAAGACTGACATCTCCATAGGTGAAGTTTTACCCATTGAGTGCACATAACAGGTGGATTCCAACACACCACCTATTGCTGAGGACTTATAGTTTCCCTTATCGGCCATCTTCTTATCCTGTTTGCATGGAGAGGAATAAGAAACAAACACATATGCTCTCACATACAAATGGTGAAGAGTATGCAAAAAACAAGTATGGTTTTAAAGTAACCTCATGAAGGGAAGGGGGAGGAGGAAGGTCTAAACACACAACCTCCAAGAAACATTTAGTTATTTACCCTTTGAAAAATGCTCTGCAGTTTAAGACCACATTTCTAAAACTACATTTGGTATGAAAAGAGTCTGCAGGAAATCCAAACCTTTCTGTCTACAGTACCACCTCAGAAACAGGGGCAGCCTTCGCTGTAAGCCCTGCACTTGTGCTGTCAGTCACGAGAAAGTCAAGCCCCGCCCAACTAATTAGCAAAGCACCCACAGCTAGATGTTTTTCTCTCCTGGTGCACATTCACACGTGCGTGCTTAAAAAAATTATTCTGCACATGGACGGGAAAAGATTGGCGGGAACATTGGACATGGGTACTGCCCTGTTGTAAGGCGGTACATCTGAAGGGGACAGCGCTTCTGTCATTCCCTTTCAGCTGTCAAAAGGTATTTCCCACATGCTGTGACTGGCACGCTAACAAGCTCAGCGCAGCGTGGACTCCACTCTGCCCCCCCGTGCAGGGCTCCCAATGACGCAGCAGGAGACGGTGGTGCAAGGTAACGGTGTTTTTGTCTCTACTGGTGCACATTCACACGTGCATGCTTAAAAAAATTATTCTGCACATGGACGGGAAAAGATTGGCGGGAACATTGGACATGGGTACTGCCCTGTTGTAAGGCGGTACATCTGAAGGGGACAGCGCTTCTGTCATTCCCTTTCAGCTGTCAAAAGGTATTTCCCACATGCTGTGACTGGCACGCTAACAAGCTCAGCGCAGCGTGGACTCCACTCTGCCCCCCCGTGCAGGGCTCCCAATGACGCAGCAGGAGACGGTGGTGCAAGGTAACCGTTTGGCACCAGTCTCTTTGGCGCCCCCTTCTCGCTCCTGCTCACGGAGGAGGAGCCGAGGCAGCCTCTTCCCCCAGGGCGCAGCGGCTCGGCGGGCCGG